ATATTAAACTGCAATGACGTATAAAACATATTATATAATATCATAATAATTGTGAAATCTTGGACACTTACCACGATGGGTCAGGAAAGACTATCTGACTTATCGATAATTCATATTGAGAGCGATCTAGTCATTGATAAAGACATAATTTTAAATAAGTACGAGTTTGGTTCTGTTTCCTCAAAAAAATTTGGTGCTTAAGCCCCCCTAATGTTTTTTGGTGATTTGCGCCTATGCCAATAATAATATAAATAATAATCGAATACTACTTGGCGTACTCCATATAAATAAATAAATCATAACTTTGCAGTAATTGTACATTTTAAAACAGTGAAAAATATATGATTTTTAATTACATAATATTATTTAGATTGTACGCGGGTATAAAACACGGTTGATATAGTCGCTAATCTAGGTTCTAGATTTTTTTGTGTCTGTAGAAAAAATACAAACTTAACTAAACTATATCACTTAATAATAAATACCATCGCAGCTTGAAAGATGAAATATTTTTATTTATATTTACATATGTTCATAAGTAGCACGTTCTTGAAATGTTAGAAAAAAATACATCGATGTAAATTTGTTAATAATAACTTTTTTGAATGTTATTATATTTTTTGTATCTAAAATTAAAAATTATGCGCGGGTAGTATTAATAAGTTTCCAGTTGATTTGACCATGCAACAAAAAAGCGTAGGTATCAAAATACTTTTTATCAACCATATATTTGCACTAATCTATTAAAACTCTAAACTCATATTAACTTCACAATAATAACTTGATTYACTTATCCGCTTTTGTTTAAATTAGAATTTCGAATATTCAACAGTCAAAAACTATTTTGTAAGATACACCCGATATATTATATGCTAATAATAGGTAAATAAAAAATGTTCTCTTGCACGGAAATAATGTATTAGTATATTACGAAGGTCATTTTTCATAAGTATAACACGTCAAAGTATTCCTAATCAATTTTTATTAGTTTAATCGATTGATAGTTTTTAAATAGGTACCTACGAGGTTACGTTTATGTTCCCAATCACAACTGAATTGTCTACTCAAGTAGCTGGCTGTAAAAAGCTTTTAAATCAAATTTTATAGAATTTAAATATTCAGAGATTAAAGTTTGTAAATTTTAATCTTTGTTTTTCACACGTGTAACATATCAAAAACAAGGCGAGGAACGACTAATGAGGATCAGTTGGTAATTATTTTATTGGTAAATGATTTGAGTTAAGACTAGCAATATTACTTATAACAATATTTTCAAGGGCCTCCATCACAATACCCTTTTTTCTTTATAATTATTATTAATAATTAAAATGATGTTTTTTAAAGTTCATATTAATAAAAGTATAAAACATAAAAATAAGACGCCTTCAAGATATTATATTATTAATTTGTAAAATAGTAATCATATAAGCTCAAAATTCAATTAACAATAATTTATGAGTTTATGWCTGATCCACTGACCTTTGTGAAATTGTTTTTTGTTATGTTTTACACGTGTGAGAAACAAAGATTACAAGCCTTGGTATGGCGTTGTCTTATAACAGACAATAAAACATTTGATATACCAATATACCATATACGTCCTAAGATTTCTATAGTCAATAAAATAAATAACATTGCATTGTACATGAATAATTTAAAATTACTATCTCTGGTAAGAAGATTACTTAAAAACAATCTAATAGGTAGCCAGGTTTTATAGGTAGATACTTACGCCATTTTAGTGATTTAGTAAGTCTAAGTAAATAATAATATTCATTCAAGATGTATACAAAATATACAATAAATAAATTGCACAGCCTAATGTACCTACATTATATTAATTAATAATTGGGTACTATAAATCAATAATTAAATTAGATAATTTTAAACTATTAGAAACAAAAACAATCAATACAGATTTCTGACAAGTATATTTTTAAATCTGACTTTAGTCTTAAACTCTTAACCAGGCGCGTCACTGATGGTGAATGTGAGCGATTGTCCCCCCTCCATTACTTGAATAATTATTGGATTTTATAAAGGAAAATTACAAGCAAGATTAAATATGCTACAAGAAATCTCTTTAAAATTAAATATTTATCATTATTTCTGCTAGACAAGTATATCATATCAGACACAAAAATAAAAATAAAAAACAGTTCATGGTAAAATAAATTGGGTAGAATTTAAGCTTGTGTATAATAATTTTATTGTGCCGCCTTCATCTCCTCATACAACTGAGTCAAATACGCCATTGCTCTTAACACCTTACAGAAATGCACTTAACCATGTTTTTTCTCGGCGAAGCAACAATTATYTTAACTAAAAAATGTCCAGATGCAGTTTTGAATAAATATTAAATAAGATACATTATGTATACGGTATACGCTACAATTTATAAGCTCATATAAACTGTTATGTAGACAAAAAATAARTACATTATAATTTATAATATTATAGACTATAGAATATCAATTAATATGTATATGGGGTGATCGGGAAGTATACAATAATATATATTATGATGTACCTATACATCATGAAAAATCGTAGGTTYTAAAATAAAACACAAATTGCGTGCATCTATAAGTCTAATAAACGTTACGTTGAACTAATTGACTACTATTTATTAAACTATACACTTATTATAGGTAATCTACTACGCATTTGTGTTATAGCGAGAAAATTRGCATAATAAGCGATTGTATACCTATTACCTAATACCTACATAAACGCGCGCACAACTGCAGCAAGGCGGTTATTATTGATCATTGTAGTGATTTAGAGTGTTTGTTTGAAATGCGAATTAACCGCGACGAGACACTGACGTGGAGGTAAAAAGAAGAACAATTTGTTAATTAAACTATAAAGCCGATAACAGCGGTGGCACTGAGTAATGAACCGTTAAGGCGTTAAACAAAAACTGTAAATAAAAAAACCCAAACGCGAGTGCGTCCATTCAGTCCATTGACTATGACGTAGGTGCTGAAATTTTCACTGAATATTCTTAATTAATCAATTTTAAGTAATTACGTTTATTGTGCGCAAGTATCATGTAAGTTATATTTTGTAATTTTTAAGAACATATTTTAAATAATCAACGCATCCATTGATGATTGATGACGTATGTGTGTGTGTGTGATTGTATGTGACGAAAAAGTACCTACTTAAATAATGAAGTATTGTGTTGTTATAATGGGTGAAGATCTAATAAGCTGCTCGATAAGGAGGTGGGGAACAGAAAAAGTCTTCTGAAAGCTAGATTGTTGATCGGGACGATATTATGTAAGTACGAAAAACGTATTCGATTCAATTTAGTCGTAACAATAATATATTATAATAGTATAGGACTTTGGAGGTCGTTCCGAGTGGGATGGAATTTACTATATTGTATAGCTGTCATACACTCTTGCCGCCGATATAAAATACGGACGATGGCGCCGGGATAGTCATGCCGAGTCAATCTATTTCGTGCTATTATCATTACCACAATACCACGCAGTGTCCGAAAATCGTGACGATCGGACATTCTGTCGACTCCACTTGACCTGTGGACCTCTAACAACCACCACCCCTCAGAAGCGGCACGAGAGAGCCACTACTACTATTACACTCTAAACTACAACCACAGTGGTGCTGCTGCTACTACTACTACTACTACTACTACTAGTACTATTACTATTACTACTACTACTACTACTACTACTACTAGTACTATTACTATTACTACTACTACTACCGCTACGACGGCGCTACTCCATTAAAATATATTGTGTATACAATATTGCCATTGCAAAACCGTTGTACTCGCCGCCGAATGTTAATAACAGTGATATCGGCCGAATAACGTGTTTTCGAAGCCGCCTTATCAAAAGTTCCTGCCGCGAGTGCCGCCGACACGTTGTAATAACAAACGTCTTAATATTATTATTTATTATTGAAAAAAAAATAAAAAAATAGATTTATTATAACTATATAGGTAAATTATAGCAACTATTATTATCATAACTTTTCTTATAGTAAATACGTAGTGGCGCGACCGCGTGTATTATTRTGTATTTGTGTACCTATCGTTTAGTATGCTGCAACCGCACTCGTAGTACGCACCGTCGTTGTCTTCTGACCGTCTCTACTCGTCATTGTTGCCCTCGCGGTTCTCGAAATCTCCGAAATCGTTTCATCTGTTATTATTACTCGTGCCTTTCATACGGGTCGTTCGTTTGTTGACATACACGAAAATAATATACGCGTACTACCTATATCGATATTACTATTGGTACCTATAATATACTATACCGTACGACGAAATAGTTGCAGAATAGGTATAAAATAAACTCGTGCGCGTGTTTGCCTTCGGTAGTTTTGCGCAACAAATACGTAGGTATAACATACACGACTCGGTATAATAATAATAGACATAAATATAATAATATATTCTTGAAGCGATTGTGWCTGTRTGTACACGCAGTCGCGTATCTCTCCGCGTTAATTTGATTTACGCACAACTCGTTTTACCTGTTTTTGACTTTAATTATTATTTTCTCGACCAGAACGATCTTTTCGTGTTTTTGTTATTACTCCTCCCGCCGACTGCATTATGGCTAACGCGTTTTTTGGAGGCATTGAAGGGTAAGTCTACTATAAATATGTATTTATATGTAACTGCCGCGTCACTGTAATATTAATACACGTACCTATTTTGTGCGCTTAATAGGGGAGCATCGGTTTCCACGGTCGTCATAACCAATGGAAACGGAGACATTTTAGCTGAATTTAAAGGAGAAGGCACGAACCCTTGGGTAAGTATTATAATAATATTATATCATACTATTATATTATAGCCATATAGGTAGGTATCTACCACATTGTGTATGGTAGGTAAATATTTATTAATTATACTTACAAACATAAAATGAAATCTGATCTCTTTTTGAATAAATGTAGGCATGCATCAATTCTTAATTTGTAGTAAATAGTATAAACTAGAAAATATACAGTTTAGCTATTAATTTTCGTGAAAATTATTATCTGTTGAATGTTTGTAGATACTAGGTAGATAATAATTTAACAACCTACCTAAATTTTTTTCTTATCAGACAACATAGAGATAATTAGGTACCTAACTAATAATGGTCTTATCGTATCTGGTGCTGGGATTATAATATAAATTTAAGATAACCAAAATAAATTAATAAATTATAGTATATAAGTATAAAAATGCAATGAAATAATAATGGTAAAAAAATGTTTAAAATTTAAGACTTTTCTTGGCTATAGTTTGAGTATTCATCTATTATTCTATTGACTATGTAGTGTACATTTTGAAATTCATTTTTCTCTTAAAGAATACATAGGTATAATAATAGTCATTTTACTTACTACTTTTGTTTTATTTATATTTATATGAAGAATGAACAAATTGTTTAACAAAATCAATAAGATATGCACTCATACTTTGTAAGTTAGAAAATAGTACTCAAAACCAATCTCAATTAATTAAAAAAATAAATGTATGATGTTGGACCATTTACAATTAATGTTTTCCCAATAGGGTTGAAATTTTTATTTAGGTAATAATCACATATTTAAAGAAATTCTGAAGTTACAGTAAAATATATATTAAGATAATATATTAAGATCACAAACTAAGATATTATAAACTATCTAAGTCTGTGGTTTCGGTAATAAAACAAGCAAAAATAAAATCAATAACTGTTAGAAATTGATACAAACAAAATATATAGTGGGTATAAGTCATTCAATTTATACACTTCTACAGAAACTTAATTATCAAAATATGTAAATATACATTTCAAATATGCTCATTTAATGTAATTAAGTATACTTAGGTCATTTCTTCCAATGTCCGATTAAAGTTAACGGACATTGGAAGAACAGCCCTTAGTATACTTAATTTATTTTATTTTAAATTATAATAGCCAATAGGTAATGCTTTAAAATTACATTATAGACATTTAAAAATAAATAATATGTATTTTGTAGCGTCTGAATAAATTAAAGGTTGCCCATCATTCTTGGTTAAATTGTAGGTACAGTCTAGTTATAAAAATAATAGTAAATAAAGTATCTACAAATTAAATAAGCAATAGAAAGATAAATATGATAAATAGTATGAAGCTATTGATTTTACATATTATACACACATAGGCGGATATTGGGGAGGATTAAGCCCCCYTTAATTTAATTAAACCACATGGTACAAAAAATGACTGGTTACGCTAATGGATATGACAAAAATATTAAGCCCCGCCACCCAAGGATTTGACCAAATATCCTATAAACATCTCTCATTAATTAACCAAGATTTTTAATGTTATAACATAAAGTTGTAAATTTATTTAAAATAAAATATTTTTTGGTTTTCAACAAAATTATTGCGAGATTTATTGCTTTCTGAAATGATAAAAAACATTTGTTTTCCTATTCTGAYTTATTAATCATATTATGCTTGTTACCATTAACTACTATCTATTGCTACCTATTAATTAAGAATTACTTTAACATAACTTATCCATAAACAGTTCTCRATGTTATTATGTTAATAATATTTTGTATACTATATGACTATGTGTAAATAGTGTAAATAACTTATTGATTTTCTTAGACAATTTAATAATATGTGCTATCACTGTTGACCATAAAAATTAATTAATTAATTATGTAATATTTTTAAAAATTGGACTAAATATATTTGATAAATTATATTTTCAAGGTTCATAATTTAATTCAATAAATTAAGGAACTAATTTTATAGACAGCTATTTTTTTWAAAAGAATAGTTATCTCTAGGGTTTTTTTTATTTATTTTTTAATCTAATATAAGATAATTGACGTTTAATCAAATACTCAAGAGGTCAAGTACATCAGAATATAAAAGGACCTATCCATGGTTTAAAATATATCCATATTAAATATTATAGTTATCAAAGTAATATTTAAAAAAATATTTTAAGATATTGAATTTTTTATAATTTAGATTCTTGGATTAGAACCTTGCCTGTCTCGAGTTAATGACTTAATTAAAGAAGCTCTTAAGAAAGCTGATCTTAATAACAACATAAAATTAAATGGATTGGTTTGTATACATTTAAAAGTGATTTGATTGTATAAGTTTTGTTTAATGATAAAATATATCTATAGGGATTGAGTTTAAGTGGATGTGAAGATCTCGTTTTTTGTAAAACATTTGAGAATAAATTAAAAGAATGTTATCCAGACCTTACTGATGAAGTAATTGTTGTTAGTGATACATTGGCACCAATYGCTTTAGCCTGTGAATCAGGTATTAAAAATAATTACTTATTGAAAATAATTAACTTTTTTATACTGTTGATTAATATTGAATTTCATGTATCTCTCCTGCTCAAATTTAAATTTAAAATGTATTATTCTAAAGGTGGAGCTGTTATTATTTCTGGTACTGGTTCGAATAGTTTACTTATAAATCCAGATGCATCAATAAAAAGGTGTGGAGGCTATGGTCATTTACTGGGTGACGAAGGCAGTGGTACGATAATCACAATTTTTAATTACATTTTTTATAATTTCATTAAAAAATATAATTTAATTTGTTTAAATGAAAAATATTTAATTTTTACGATATTATGTATTAATTTTTTTAGCTTTTTGGATAGCATTCAAAAGTATTAAAGTATGCTTAGATCATTTAGAAGATTTTAACCATGCTCCAAATGGTTACTCGATTGACAGAGTATGGGAAGCAATCAAAGCACATTTTAATATTGATAAAGTGTAAAGTATATGTCACTATTTAATTGGCTAAATATAACATTAAGTATATGAAGTTCTATAACAAATAAAATACTTTTTGTTTATATTTTTACCAACTTCTGAGTTTTGATAACTTAGTTCAATCTAAGTTTAATCTAAACTAGTTAGTTAAAAGTTAAAACTATTAAAAAATAAGTCACTAAATAGTATAATACATTTATAAAAACACATTTACACAATTACATTTATTAATAAATTATTTTTATTATTTTAACTTTCAATATAATAAATTTATATTAATTTCAATATTTTAGTTTTAATAAGTTATTTTGAACTTCTAATATGATTATAAACTAATGAAATTTATTTATTATCAGTCTAGATTTGTTGAATGTATTTTATGGAGAAAAAAAAGAAAAATCAGAAATAGCTAAATTGTGTAAAATAATATCAGAACTAGCTGAAGATGGAGATGAATTAAGTCTATGGATTTTTAGTGAAGCTGGGAAAGAGTTAGCAAAATTTATACAATCACTCTACCCAAGTGCTGATAAAGTAAGATCTCATTTAAATAATATTACTTCATGGTGAAATTTACAGTTTTAAATAAAAATGTAGCTTAAATTTACTCCTTAATGATATATATTATTTAATGTACAGTTTGCTATACTCTACTATAAATGTTTGATTTTGATTCTAAATTTTTTACTTGAAAATAATATTTATTTTAACTTTTTACATTAATTATGAAATAAACAGACTAAATTAATCTTGGGAAATTTAAAAAAACTTTAATAAGTAAGAAAAAATAATAAATCAATAATCTTTAACTACTCAGTATTAACCAGATTTGTCTGTAAATATGATTTTTTTTATGATTTATTTTACTATTAACACAATTTGATTGAAATTCAGAACTATAATCCGTGATTTAAATAAGGATAAAAGAGTACCTATTTTTGGAAATTATTTGAACATATCCCTTCTTACTTTTTGAAATTACTTATATGTTATGAAGTATTTGGATTCAGGAACATAAATTTAAATATTTTTAGTATAGGTACTTATAAATTCCTATATTCAAAAAGAAATGTATTTAGCAAATTAATTAAGCAAAAATATTAACTGTAATAAATGTTATCTATTTTTTAAGCTCTCAATTTTARTTTGGTACACTCTTTCAAATTAGTAGTTGAATTTTTTCCCGTTATATAATTGAAATAATTAGTATAGGATTAGATATTATTCTATAATTAGCGAATATAATTTGTTATGTATGTTATTATGGAAAATAAATTTATTCATTTAATGAAATAATAAACAAATTATAATTTTTTAATAAATGTCTTGTTTATATATTTAGATGTTACATAAAGAACATGGTGGGTTGCACGTGGTGTGTGTTGGGTCTGTATGGAAAAGTTGGGAATTGCTCAAAGAAGGATTTATGAATCAACTTGATCACCATCATAACTCACAAGAAACTGTAGTAGATGAATTTTCCTTATTGGTGCTTGAAAAGACTGTTGCTTTAGGTGGAGTATATCTCATCGCAAAAAAATTAAATTTCAATTTTCCATATGATTATGAACATAACTATAGGAAACTTTTCCATTATGTACATGACCGACAAGGCCAATAATGCAATAGTGGAAATTTAATCAAAAACAAATGTGGCCTCATCAATTTAAAATGAAATTATTAGTTATAATCATTAAGTACCATTAGGTCTCAGATTGGTGGCCTCTGCTCATTTTTGTATACTTGTTATTTTAGCACTATACATTTTGTTACAATAATTATACTTTATTTAATTTTTTAATTTTGAATGCCAAACTAGTTTTTAATAGTAACAAATAATTTAGCCTTAGAAAAAATGAACACTGTCAATTAACCATTCTTTGMATTTTAAGATAAATAATGGGTAAGTTAGTGAAATATTAACAAAAATCACAAGTATGGGGCCAAATAGTTTTATTGTTAATTTTATTTAAATCATTGTTGTTATTTGTTTTTTTTTTTTAAATTTATTAATTTACAAATTTTTTAAGCCACACTGCTATTCTTTAAGCTTATCCATTTGATAAATCATTTTATTTAAAATTATTTAAAAGCAGTAGGTATTACCTATGTATACAAATATATCTTATTTGTAATATTATATTTTTACATCACTAAATTTTAATGTTTAAGTAATTTATATAGTGTTATATAGTTAACAGAAGTTGGAAATTATAGTTACCTCGATATTATTTTAAATACATGCGTAATTTGTTATTATTGATGATTGCAATTTTTAACTGTTTACTGTCTGCCCAAATGTGTGTATAAAATTGTTATTTAATGTTAATTTTTATTTACTTAACAATTATTGTTGGTAAATTATCAATTATCATACTGTTAAAGTGTTAAGTGTCTCTTCAGATTGAAGWTTTCTTAAATTTTACATTTTATAAATGTAAAAAATAACTATAAGTTTAATATTTTCTCAAATAGAGAAGATTATGTAGAACATCTAAACTGGACTTGTATAATTTTACAGTTATTCTTGTCAATAATAAAATCTATCTATAAGGATAGATAATTTTGATGATTATTTCATTTTCATTGGAAATAAAATTCAAAACAGACATTTTTTCAAGGACTACCTATATAAAGGAAAAAAACAATGCTTTAACTGAGAAAAAATGTTTAACTCTTCATTATCTGATCTTATCAATACGAATATCGTAGGATTCCAGGAGATACCCAGATAACTTAATTCCCTGAAATAATCTACTACCTACCCACTTTTATATTTAAAGCTTTAAAAGTAAACACTAAACAGTATGGAAAATCATGAAACCCCCACACTCCCAATAGGTATATTAATTTGCTACTGACCACGGACGCATATTCTTTGTATCATTGGAGTACCCCCGATCGCCCTTCTATTAGATAATTTTTTTGATTTTTTTTATGTACTCATGATAAGATTTTTGTTTACGAGTTAAAAACATTAAACAGTAAGACGTGTAAGTTTCTGATTCGGAAAATAAAAAATCGAAAATACATAGGTTCGATTTTTTTTT